AATTTCACTTTGAATAAGAGTCTCTTGCCTTTTTCATTTAAAAGGAAGGAATCTTGAAATCCTCCTCCTCTTTTCCTCATTCATACATTTTGCTTGCTTTTTAAGAGATGTTGACAAATAAATAACAAACAAATCTTTCATTCTTGAAGATTGTACATTGATCTTAATTTGTCAAATCAAACATTTGAATTTTCATACATTGATAATCAAAACTCCATTGCATTTTAAGTGGGTCATTTGATTCTAATCCACATTATCCCCCCCACTCTTGTGTTCATAATATCCTCATCATTCTTATTTTGATGACATCTCAGTTGAACTTCTTCACACAACCAAATAAAAAGCATAATTTATTCAAATGTTCATTTCTGTTGATCTAATACTTACTGGAGATTGCATTGATGTGCTGACAAGAATTAATAATTGTACTCGCAAAAAGAAAAACAAAAGAAAAATGATGTAACAAAAGGATGTTTTTTCTTTTTACTCTTAACAATTCTATTTTACTCTACACTCCCTCTGAAATTTTTTTATTGTTTTAAAAACCTATTTTGAGAATTTTAATAAAATCCAAACATATGAAACTGGATTTATTCATTTGCTTTTTTTCTTGAGAATTAGCAACAGAAACATTGTTATTATTTATTTACAAGTTGATAAAAATATGTGAACCACTAAATAATATATTACTTACCATTATAAAGAAAACTATAAACAAAATTTATATTCATAAATTTAGAAAATTGTCTGTATAGAACAATAAAATTTAAATAAAGATATAATGATGAGTAATGATGATGATGATAATAATGAGTAAATGTAATTTTAAATTATAAATGTATAAATTCCTGCATTTTCTCAGCATCTTTTCATTTGTTCTCATTACAAATAGGTCAAGAATGTCTGGATAATAATATTGCAGTGGTTGCTTCACATTATAATCATGAAAACAAAATTATTCTTCAATTAAACAGTGCTTAACATTTTTGTTTTTAATTCTCTAGAAAAAAATGTATAAATTCAGTTTCATATGTTTGGGTTTTATTAAAGTTTTATAATTAGCTTTGAAAAACAATGAAAATTGCCAAAGGCGTGTACAGTATTAGTTGTGCCAAGAGCACCCCCACTTTTAACACGTTTTTTGCAAGTAAAATTGTTAAATTTTGCTGATTGGTTGTTTACTGTCAGAGATTTTATTGAAATGCAATGCTCTAAACCAACTAAAAATCTTTACAAAGATACAAAGACAACGCTGTATTAATAGAATAATATATAATAATATAATTATTACTTATAATTCATATAAGTAATATAATTATTAATAATATAATAAAATAATATAATAAAATAATATATTAATAGAATGCCTTCTGGGTTTTTGTTGTTTTGCTTCTAATACTCTGTTTTATTTTTTTTTAATCTAATAGAATAGAGTGATCTTTTTTCTTGGCAATAAATTCACATTTTAACCTGTTCTACATAAAGAATGGAGTCTGGAGGAGATAGGAAAGATGTATTTAGATCCTTGCCAAACATTTATTTTATATATTTCCCAAGATCACATTTTAAAATTATACATCTAAATACTTTTGAAATAAAATTAGAAACTTGCTAAGATGAAAAATGCATCATTTCAAAATAAAGTGCAGAATAAAGTGTAAAAAAGTAATGGGAGAAAAATATTCAGACGCAAAATATTTATTATCTTAAAAATGTTAAAGAAGTGATACATGTTGAATTCTTTTCACTCCTGCATAGAAACGTTAATAATCTTCTGTTGAAATATCACCAAGTGATGATGTCATCAGAGTCCTAGTTCACATTCAACCAAACAAAAGAATTATACAATTAAACAACATAATGAAGGCTTCAGTTTCAAGACCATTAACAATTTGTAAAGATCTCCATCATCGGTATGACTGTATTGATGATTATCTAGTAAGAGTTTGACACCATCAAAAAACATTCCTTCTTCAGGAACAACTGAAAACATTCTACAAAAAGTTAAAACAAATCCAATGGCAATGAGAAAGGATATTGAAGAGGATTTAAGAGCAGCTGAGATATTGGTTACTAGAAGAACTATCCGGAATGGTTTGAAATCCTGTATTGCATGGAAACCAACTTTGTTGAAATAAAAGCACTGAGATTCATGAATGAAGTTCACTTATGAGCATTATAGACTAATAATTTTTGAACGAACATTCTTTGATCAGACAAAATGAAGATTGAACTTTTTTGGTCATATCCCAGATCATCATATATGAGGAAAAGGTGGATACACTTATAAATAAAAAAGTATAGAGGTGACAGTGTCACAGTTTGGAAGAGGTTTCTCTTTCTTATGCTACGTAGGCATTTCCCATGATTAATGGAGTGATGTTTCAGAATATTTTGGAAGTTAATATTTTCTTCTTCGGTGCAACAGAACTTAAAGGAGGTGGGATTTTTCAACAAGATAATAGCTTAAAATATTTAAGCTATTTGTAAGTTGTGAATGGTATGTTCAGAATAATGTAAAGCGGTTTCAGTCATCCGAGTAAATCTCATGAATTTAATTGGATTCATGGTGAAGATTGAAAAATCATGTTAATCAGATGAAGCTCTGAAATAATAATGTTTTCAAGGAATAATGGGACAAGATTTGAAAATAACATTGTGAATAGCTTTTAAAGGGTGATGAAAAAATAAAAAAATAAAAAATAAAGCAAACATCTCCAAGCAATAATCCCAAAGTAGAGATGTGTTACTAAGTTTTAAAATATGAAATTAAAGAGTCTGAATACTTTTCCTTCCATTGTTAATTTGTCTATATTTTATGTTCTGCTGTATGTTTGAAAAAAATCTTTTTCTTAATAATTATTAATTTTATATCAAAATACAAAACCTGGGTCAATTTAAAGTAAATTTAAGCATCAGAAGTTGAATGGATGTAATCTTTAGGCCAACAACAAAAGCTCTGAAAATCTTTTGTTATTTTCATGTTGACAGACTTTACTAATCACGACTCATTTGTAAATGGCCAAGAATCAACTTTTGTAGCTGCCAATGGTCAGGCCTAAAGTTAAGTAAAATGAGTCCAAATTTAGAGAATTTTCATTTTTATGACTACAGAAAATAAATCATTTTAAATCATAAGACTTGCTGGGTTTTTTTTTCTTTTTACAGATGAACCCACTCCCATGTTACAAATTTTATTATTGCTGACACAGTGAAGAATTTGGCAGATGCAAAAATACAAAAGAAAAAAAAAACATTTGAATTCTATACTTATTTTATTCTAAATCTAATTTTTGTTCTTTTCCTCTTTTTTTTGTTCTATTTCTACTCTGAGTTTTAAATTTTTATTCTTATTGCAGATTTGCTGTTTGAACAAATCAAGAGGAAATGTTGAAAAGTTCTCAGTGGAACCAAGAAGAGATTCCAATAAAAATTCTGATGATCACTTAGATTTCAGGAAATGGCTGAGGCTGAGAAATTTTCAGTGCCCTTTCATCAAACTCATTGAATTAAGTATGGATTAACTATAATCTAAGGTAGAATATTCATGCAGGAGGTGGGAAGAGTGCAATTCAAGCATAGAAACACTTGACAATGCCAGTTATGGCATCATAGTTTTTATAGTCATATAGTTTCATGATAAAAGGAATCTATCAGATAATGAGTAAAACTTTTGATAGTTTACATATGGAATTCTTCAACTGACTGTTGGGCAATTTTCAAAAATGGGGAATTATATACAAAGATTCTTGGAAAAACCTTTGAAAGGAAGCAAATCTTTTCAATAGTTTTCAAAAATAAATATAAAAATAAGTGTTAGAATTTTCTAATTCACAAAAGAAACTGCATTCAACTGACTTAAAAAAAATTGCAGCAATGACTTCTTTTTATATCCTCCAGTCTTGAACTGAATTTTCGCACAGATCTTTTCTGTAAAATTTGCTTGAAAATTATGACTAAGTGGTGCTGAATTGTAAGAGAGAATCCAATTAAAGTTTAATTTTTACATGTGAAGTTGTGGTTTAGTCAAGATTAATTGTGAATGATTATCTGTATCCTATTTCTCTTTGAAAGACAAGATGGTGTTACAGCAAGTCACAAACAGATCATTGCAGAGAGAAATTAATAGAGAAAAAGTGATTGGTGAAGAAGCAGTCACGTTTGTATTCAGTTTTTCTTGAAGCCTCATTCAGAAGAAATGAAAATTAATAATTTTTGTGTATGTTGTCAGTTGACAAGTTCTTTCTCATTAACATTATAATCAATGTATCCACATTCATTTGGCCAATTTTCATAGAATTAATAATTTTGCTGCATTCTTATTAGTTCCAGGAATCAAGAAAAAAAAAAAAAAGGAAATATTTTCTTGTAATAAAATTTAAAATTGATGCCTTTTATGTTTTTTTCCCTTTCAATCTTTGAATCTGTTGCATCATTGATAGGAATATGTTTAGAATTAGGCAGCAGTCTTATTTAGAAATTTGATTTAGTGTTGACAGGTAAAGAAGAATTATATTTGAATTCTTTATGCAACCATTCTTACTTTCATAGGTAAACTAAGTCAATAAACAACATATGCCTAGAATTTTATCAATTACTTATTTTGGTTATTCATTTACTGATTTTTTTTACCTCCAAGATCTTAAGATTTGGGATAAAAACTACTTTTAGAAGTAATTCTTTATATTCCCAACTATTAAGATTTTGGAAATAGTGAAATGATGATGAAAATGAATTGGTAAAAAATTTGTAGACACTTTTGGCATATATTATCAACTGACCTGTTTACTTGTACCTCACTGTGTCTTACATATTTAGTTGTTCTGCTGCATATTGTTGATAAGGTACCTCACTGTGGAGCAGTCATTAGAAAACTAGTCTTGTAGATGAGTACTACAGTAGCAGGTTCAATCCTCACTGGGTGCCCCATATTTGTGGTCTTGTGCCAGACTAAGGTAAACCTACAATTTTGTTGGTGACTGATTCCTTTCCACTAAAACCTGATTGAAGATGACTTGATCAGCTGAGGAAAAAGAAAATGAGAAATATTAAAGGAGAATGATGAAAGCAAGGAAAGACACGAGTGTGTTATAAACAAGAGAAAGTTTTTATTGCATTTACAATGACACTCAAAACTTTGTTAGAAGTTCTTAATTCCAATATCATCATCATCATCATCATCATCATCAGAGGCTCTAGTTAAATAAACTCAGCAAAGCTTTTCAAAATATTTGCTGATGGAAGAGTGGCAAAGGCCAGGCAGCTGAGATGAGCAAAATGTATGCCATTGGCCAGAGGAAAAAAAGGTGCTTCACATACAATAGCAACAAACATTTGCAATGCATCTTGTTGTACAAAAGACATGCAAGAATCTTGCTGGCAAAAAAACCAGTTTATTTTTGCAATGCTGAAAATAAGAAATAACACATAGACAATTGTTTTGCTGCTTTTTTTTTGTCCTTTTTGTTATATTGAATGTAAATATGGCACACAACAAAAATGAATAAACAGTTTTCATTTTTATTTTTAGGAAAGATAGCAAAGTAAGGAAGCTTTTTGGGAATTTGGGAGAAAATGGGAGGTTCTGATGTTATGGGTTTGATTGCATTTTTATCTTCTGTCCAAAATTCATTTTTGCTGCTTTTCCATGCATTTTTGTTTTTAGACATTTTCTATAAATCTGAAGGAAAGAGATCAGCTAAAAGAAAGAAGATTGACGTTTGGTAGATCAAAATTGTTGCTAACTAAATTGCAAACAATTTATTAGGAACGCATTATTTAAGAGAGACACCTTCATAAGTGATAAACTTAATTCAGAATTAAAGAATTAACAGGTTTTGGAAATTTTCTAAACTTAATCAAATATATTAAATTATGTATTTAAAAAGCAAATAATTTTACTTAAGAGAGGAATATATGTGTATGTGTGTGTGTGTGTTTCACATATACGATTAAGAAACAAGAAAGCTACAAGTAAAAACAAGTTTTGATTATATTAATGATAAATTGTAACAGTAGTCACAAGAGTAAGAACAACAACATTATCACATCTTAAAAATAACAGTAATAAAAAGGTCTGAAATTAGATTAATTATTAAGAAAATCTGTTTCTATTTAGACTCTTCCAGGCCAGCATATTTTGCAAGTTCCACTGTTAGTTTTAGTTTTTGAAATTATGGAAAAAAAAATGAAAAAAGTTTATCTGCTAGTGTGCTTTTTTCACTTAAAAAAATTCTTTTTAAAATGACATTTTGGTGTTTTGCATTTTCTGAAAACACTTTTTTCATTGAATTCATTTTTTTTTTCATCTTGATGAGAACTCAAATTGATATCAAAACTTTTTTTTAAATCATCTGAAAATCTACTGGAGATTAAGAACATTTTTCTTGTTAAGTACAAAAAACAAAATAACAAGAACAAAAAAAAGCAGCATACCAATGTACCAAGCATCTTAGAAATAAAGGATTCTTCACTTGGATTTAGTTGCATCCATCTTCATATCATCAACAACATAATCAATTATTATCAATAACATTTTTATTTTAGAATAATTTACTTTATTAACATACACCATTTATTAAACCCCGAACTGTGAGTAACATTTCACCATTGTGTTTTTTTAAATTTTTTTTACATAAATCAATGATTTTTAATTTTAAAACAAGTGTAAAGAAATTTTGGTCATAAAAAGTTTATTCAAATTTTTCCTTTTTTCTGTAACTGGGTTAAAGTAAGATGAGAATATTCTAGATCACACATGTCTTTTGGAAAATCTAAAACTGACCTTTGACATGAAGAAAGCCAGGAATAGATTATTTTTTTTTTTTAGTGAACCAAACTTTTCTATTTTTTAACCTTTTGTTCTATTTTTTTTTTTTTTGTATTTTTGTATTTTGTTACTGAGTCCTCAATATTAAATATCTAAAAAAAAAAAATGTCAATCACAGGCAATGCAGATGTAAATTTAAATAAGTGTAAAATGTAAATCCGAATATTTTTTGAGTTTGAGTTATTTGATTTTATGATATGAATTGTTTTTAATAACACTGCAAAGTTCTGTTTTGGTTATACAAACTTTTTAGACACAGTGTTAAATTTACTATATTTCATGGAATATGTGTGTGTGTGTGTGTGTGTGTATGCAAGAGAGAGAGAAAAAGTATGAGTGAATATGTGTGTGTAAATATATATATGTGTGTGTGTGTGTGCAAGAGAGAAAGTATGAGTATGTGTGTGTAAATATATGTGTGTGTATGCAAGAGAGAGAGAGAGAAAGTATGAGTGAGTATGTGTGTGTAAATATATACCCACAATAACATTATAATAGGACATCTCACCAAATAATGGATATTTTGAATGTCTAGTTTTGATGAGGAAGAGTTCCTTAAAGAATGGTCATCCCTTCATCTTCGCTATTCAAACAAGAGCAACAAGAATAAAAGTCAATTTTATGTATAAAAAAGCTAAAGATAAAGCAACAACAAGAAAAATCTTTAAATAACTTTTCTTTTTAGTTGAAAAGTTTAATTTTTTTTTTTTTTTTGAAAACTGATTTGTTTTACTCCTTGTTTTGCATTTCTGAATCAAAAATGAAAGAAGCAAAATGGCAAAGAGTTATTTTAATCTAAATTGCAACAATGAATCTTCTAAATAATACATCAGGTTATTGGCAATTGAATAACAATAAATATAATAATTGTAATGATGGAATGTTTTTTATGACAAAAAATGAAATAACAAATCAGGAGAGAGAAAAATTTGTATCAAGATTTGCTTTACACAAAAAATAATCAAGGAAATTACAGATTTGGGATTTGCATCACACACAATGAAACATTTGGAAAGTTTGATGTTTTCTTTGGGTTCAAAGAATTTCCATTCCACTTGAAATGCTGAAGGATTATTCAAGTGTTTGTTGAATTTTGTTGTTAGATTTAAGCAGTTTTAATTTTACTCTAATTCAAGATGTTAAATGTATATAAATTTTTTATTTCTTTTTACATTTTTGTAGTTTTTAATTAAATCCTGTGTTAAATCAAGTGCTGGTATTTATTGGTGTGCCTATCGGATATTTTCTTAAGTAAAAGGTTGAATTGTATATAAATTGATGAAAGATTATATATCTACATAAAACAGAAAACAGTACATACTATATAATAATACAAATTGATTCTTATTGACAAGCATTAAATGCCAATACGGTTTGTGTGTATAGACATTGTGCTGCTGTACAACGATATAGGCAAAACTGTTTGGTTAAGTCAGCAACTAGTCACTGTTTAGTATAGACAAGAGAAGAAAAACAGAGAATCTACATTGTTTTAGAAGAGAGAAAAAGATTTTGTTTTAAATAAATACTGAAAAAAATGTGGTTTTAAAACTGGTTGGAATAAACTACAAGCATCCAAATCAAAATCATTATAGAAAATTAAAATGTTATTGGAAATATTCAATAAATTACAATCTTTGTTTATATTTATCATTTGACTTTTGACATGTTTTTTTCTTTGTAATTTTTAAGGAAAATAGACAAAATTGGAAAAACTATAATTAGTTAGGGAGATAAAAAAAATTCAAGTTGAGAATGTAAAATTTAAAAATTGTTTATACCACGATTTCTCAATATGAAATAATTTTAAATTCATATTTTAAGAGTTTGGAATATAAATTCCATCTTTTGATATTTTTACTTCCCATCAGACTTATGATCTCTTTTTTTAAATTACTTTTCTCCATGTTTAAATTCATTTCTATGAATTAATCAGTTGGATGTTGTCAGCTTGTATGAGTGATAAAGTATACAATTTTGTTAGGAAAAGATTTTTTAGTATTCCTAATAAGAAAAATGCATACAGATAAAAATGGCGTCCGAAGTGAAGAAGAAGAAGAAGAAGATTTATTCTATTTGACTAAATATTTATGCAAGTCTTTATCCTAAAAGCAAATTTCTATAAAATTTTAGTTGTTTTTTTTTTCATTTTCTATTATTCTTCAAAAAACAAAACAAAAAGAAAAGAATGGACTTCAAAATAATAAAGTGTCATATAATTTCTAAAGAGGAGAATATCTATAAAAGAAATTCTTTTTTTGTAGCTCTCTGTAATGGTGACTAGTTCTGCTTTTGTATTGTCTTTTTTGTACAAGCAGTCCACATTGCTTTTGACTCCAAACACACACGTGGGAGACACAACTACTTCTGTTCACAAAAGCTAGCATGCTGAATCAAATTTCAAGATTCATTTTGAGAAGGAAAAACACTTGGTTTTGGTTTTGTAATGAGCCCAATGAAGTCTAGGAAAAAAAAAATCACCAAAATTTTAAAGGAATTATCAACAGACTCACAGACATACAGAGAATTTTATATATAGATAAATTGGAAGTGTAGGTAAAAAGAAAAAAGTCACCTACATTAATATGTATATAAAGTATGCATAAAAAGATTTTTTTTTCTTAATACTGGAGTCATTTCGGAAATAAGGGTTGGGTGAGGGATGTCAACAGAATGACCAACTGTTCCTATTTATTTCTTGTCTAGAAGAATGTGTTTTTGTCTTTTGGGACACTTAGCATGACTTTGAAATCTTTCTAATGGTTTATTCTAAAGGAAATTAAAACGAACAGTTTAGATTAAAAAGCATTGAAAGTACAGAATCAAAATTAGAGTAATTGTAAGTGCTTGATTGTTATTGACTCGAGAATAACTGCACAGTGATTTTCATGTGTGCAATTATAGTCTTAAAGTTCGTCATGCGAAAGGGACGTAACTCTCGGTCATTAATTGAAAAAGCTAAAAAAAAACAACAAAAACCTTGGGCTTCATCTAAAGCAATGGAAGATCACAAGATGGATACATAAATCGTTCCAAGTTTGTTTCATAAGATTTTCTTCCATCATCAAAAAAATGTATTCTGTAGATTTAGAGAGGGTATAAGTATTTTCCGAGATAATTATAAATATTATTATCTAATCTTAACAGGATATATTTTTTCACATCCATTGGACTAAATATTTACTTTCTTATGA